GGCCGCCTAGCCGCTCGCACCGGGTGCCGGCGGGGGAGAAGATGGAGAAGGGGATGCAGCTGTGGATAGGGAGGGAGGAGCGGTGATGCTGTGGGGAGAAGCAGCCGCGCTGGGTAGCCTCGTCCACCCCCAGCACTGCTGCTACCTGCACTTGGGTCCCTCAGGCAGGTGCTGGCACCAGCCACCGTGCTGGCAGTAGCCCATCTTGCAAGGGGAGATGCAGACGAAGCCAACGGTCCCCACGTAGTGGAGCCGGTAGCCTTTGTAGCTGTACAGACCGCAGGGGAAATACTGCCTCAGCTCAGCCACCGTCACTGGGGAGGGAAGGCACGGGTTCGGCCCCACGGCAGCATCACCCCTTGGTGCTTCCCCAGGTCTCCTTGAGCTGGATCCACACCTGGGCTGGGGACTGCCACCCACCCCACGGTGCTACCCGAACCCCAGGGCACTCAGGGTGATTGGGACAATGGGGACAGTAGCGTGCTCCTCTTGGGCTCCCCAGCTCAGTGCTGGGAGCAACTCACGCTTCACCAGGTCGGTGATGTTGTCCTGGTGCAGGCGCTGGAAGACGAGGGTTGTGCCTGCCTCCCGCCGTCCCCGCCGCCTGTTGAAGGCGCTGGTGATGGCCCCCAGCAGCTCCTCGTTCAGGAACCGGATGACAGCGCTGTGGCTGTCATAGGCGAACTCGGACACCAGTGTGAAGGTGAAGCCATCGCTGTCTGTCCTGTGGGGAAAAGACGAGGCTGCTGGCAGTGCCACTGCTGCATCACCGAGCGACCGAGCCTTACCATGTCTTGGTTTCCCCACTTGGGGAGTGGTAAAGAAGGGATGAGGCAGGAGGAGATGGAAGGTGCCCTGGGGCTTGTGTGTCAAAGGGTTTATCAACATCAGGGCTGGAAAAAGGGACCCTGGGTTTGGGGAAAAATGCCCTTTCTGTCCCAAACTCTGTGGACCCATGCCCAGCCCTGCGCCGCTGGCTCCCCAGGGTGGGCACGGGGTCGTTCCATGGCTGACTCACGTCTGGGTGATGTTGGTGTTCCTCTGGAAAGCCTTTACCTCCAGGGAGCCCAGGATGGCTGAGACCTGCGGCAGGGGGAGCGGGATGGCGTTAGGGGAGGGCAGGACGGCACCAGCACAGGGCGAGGCTGAAGGGTGACAAGGGCACCACGTTTGAGCCCCAGGGGCTGTGCTGGCCTTTTGTGCCCGTGCTGGGGACCT